CAACTCCAGAAGAGGTCGAAGGTGCTAATGGAATCAAGAAATGAAGTTTAAAAAGCTTAGAATCTGAAGCCTCTATTTATAGGTGAGGTAATTGTCATCCATATGTGTGCCTATTTGTTGCAAAAAGTTTGATCCCATGTGAAAAACTTCTGATGAAAACTTGGTTGCAAAGTCTCTTAAAACACAACCTTCCCTTTGCTAAACTAGGTCATTTTGCATCACTACTCATCACTTAACATAATTTGATGCAAACCACATGCATTAGGGGTCCCAATTTAGACAAATTATGAAGTTGCATTTCAAGTCATGGTGAATTTTCAACATCCATGTCACTAGGTTCAAACTTGGTCCAAACAAAATTGGCTCGTGTGTTTCTTGATCTTTCTTTTGCTAATTGATCCTCTAATGGCATAGAATAAAATGAAAAAAATAAGTAATTCAAAATGAGATTTGAGGTGAAAATGGAAATGTTATGAAGTTGCGGTCATGATCTGAAAACCTAGGTCAGAACCAGATTTTAGCCTCCGAATGACCTATAATTCCATTGCAAATTTGAAGTCCTTAGGAGCATAATTGGCATTTGAACCTTGAAACAAACTTCTAAAGGACATCAAAAGGGATATTTTTACAAACAAACCTCCCATAAAAGTTGAAAATTGAAGGAGTTATGGTCCTGGGAACATAGGCATGCCATACTTACTTTTCAGGTCAAATTTTTAAGTTTACAAGATGACCTATAATTGATTTGAAACTTTGAGATCCTTAGGAGCACAATTGGCCTTTGACTTATGAAGAGAAGTTATAGGGGAAATCAAAATGAACCTATTTCCCAAAGAATGACTTAAAAGTGTTGAAGTATGCAAGATTTATGACATTTTGACCAAGGCAAAATAAACTTGATTTTTAGGTCAAAACACCTTGAACCAACTTGTAACTTTTTGAATTTTTATTGCAATACAAAGCACCATGATGAACATATGGACTTAAAGTGAATAATCCTTGATCGTTATTTTCTAAGTATTAACAAAATATTGATAAAACATGATGAAGACGACATGTAAGTAAACACATGAACCTACTTAAAATGACATGAGAAGCAAGCAACCAAACTGGACCTTCTTTGATCAAAAGATGTAAAATGAGGATTGAGGAGAGTGTAATATAATATTATATGTCATGAGTTGACGAATAAGCCTTTGAGAATCAATGGTTAACCATCCTTGATCTGAAGGATTCAAAACCCTAATTGGATAACCACACATGATTTTCTTGATTCAAAGCCTTTCCTTGCAAAATAAACAAAAGGAACAAAGCATATTTTTGTATTTTGACTAAGGTTATAAAAGCATAAAAATGCATCATCATAAAGAAAAAGGAATTGAGAAGGGTGCTTGGTGATCTCCCTCACAGTAAACCTAAAGCTAAGAGGGTTGAGAGGCTACCATGCTTCTGACTTTGATGAAATGTAAATGATGTTATAGATGGAATCTTAGGGGTAAAAATTAGGGTATGACAAACTAAAATTGCTGGAATTTGAAGCATGTCCTGAATTAGTTTTTCTCCTTAGTTATAATAAAAACCGAGGGAATAAATGATATTTTTTTATTAAAAAAATAAAACACAGAGTGTCCTAGAGTTACACCACGTTTTTTGTAGGATGAGATAAAAGCTTTGTCCTGAAATATATTATTTGTAGTAATGCTTTTTGAGAAGCTTGTTTTTCCATGCATTGCTTAAATAATTTCACAAATAATGTAAGATTTTCCTTGTTATTGGGGTACATGGTGCCCCATGTCCGAATATCTTTTAGGTAAATTTTGTGTTTCTCTAATTGGTGGAAGCGTCATCTCCTATAAACATGGATTCATGTCAATAGTTACTTTTGTTAATGCCATTATTTGTTATGTAATAGAACCATAATTGTGTTTGATTAATGATGATGGACTTCTGATGTAGTCATGCGAATCTCCAATATGATGATGTAGGGTGGACCTACAAGGTTAGTACACCAACACCCAACTTAAATACAAATTTCAAAATGAGTGAAGTAAAATATGAGATCAGAAAGTGTATGTCAATTATATATGATGGATAGTTTTATTTGCGCTTCACATTGATGGGCTTGATATTTAGATCTTACACGTATTGGTCCTTTAGTCGACTTAGAACATTTTCCTCCAAGGATTTTTGGGTGTTCTATTGTATAAGAAGTCTTTTGAAGTTATGGCTGCCATTTTGTTACCAAACACAACCATGAGTTTAAGTGGGAAGGTCCTGAGGCGGATGTAGAAGTAGTGAAGAACAAGCACATTAAATGCATTTCTCATAAAAAAAAAATTCCGATTTTTAGGAACGTGGCCTTAGGTTTGCTAGTTAGAATGTGGTGCTATACTCTAGGGCTTTTGAGTGAAATTGAGTTTGCTTGTGCTCTCAAGGTGAAATCAAACCATTGATTTTTAACTTTACATCTTATTTTTTATCTAACTCGTTGCTCGCTTTCACTATAAAAATGTTTTCTGGTTCTTTTGGTGATTCTTCTCAATTCATGAAAGTTAATTTCCTCTTTTGTGAGAGTGTTTTTAATTCTTTTGGAATATATATTTTTAAAATTGCATTTAACCTCTACTCTTTTTGCATGTCCCTATTCTATAACAACGGAGCAGACTATTATCCAATGAAATATTTGATAAAACCAATTAAAACAATTTATCGAACACTTGGTGTGCACTTAATTTTTCAGATTTTCATTTGAACTTTGTTGATATGATTTTCTTATTACAATCAAAAAGTCATTGAAGTGTGATTAAAAAAGTGATTAAACAATCAAAGGATGTTTCTATATAAATTAAATGCACAATCAAAGAATTTAACAAATTGCTTAATTTTCAATAAAATTAATGGTGAAGCTTATTAAGACAATTTATCAAACACTTAGTGTGCACTTTGACTTTTCCTTTGAACTTTAATGGTATTAAAACCTATTACAATAAAAGGGATTGTAAGAACAACAACAAAATAATTTAAAAACTTTAAAGGATTTCTCTAATCTAATCAATTTATACAATCAAGAGTATAAAAAATTGCTAACAAAATATAAAGGAGATAAAGATATATATATATATATATATATATATATATATATATATATATATATATATATATATATATATATATATAGAGAGAGAGAGAGAGAGAGAGAGAGAGAGAGAGAGAGAGAGAGAGAGAGAGAGAAGAGAGAGAGAGAGAGAGAGAGAGAGAGAGAGAGAGAGAGAGAGAGAGAGAGAGAAGATGAGAGAGAGAGAGAGAGAGAGAGAGAGTTGTTGGAATTCGAAAGTGTGTCATCTAAATACTTTACCTCCTCGGTTTTCAGTTAAATCGAGGTAATAAATCAAAAAAATTAAAAGATGTTAAAATATAGTTGATGAGATTCGAAGGTGTGACATCTAAATACTTTATCCCTCAGTTTTCAGTAAAATCGAGGAAATATATGATATTTTTTATAAAAAAATATGTGACGCATATATAGTTTATACTTCGATATTTTTTTAAGTGAGGTGAAAATTCCGTCATAAAAAGTGTTATGTCTAGTAGTGTTAGAATCTGAGTCAGAGTCTGAAGATAGTAACGAAATAAGGTTCAAAGTTAAGGATGAGAGAAAGAGAGACACAAGCAATTATCTTGGTTTCTCCTACAAATCAGGAGTTTCGCAGTCCCCTTGCATTTATAAGGGATTTTTACTATAATCACTTCTGATTACAAATGCTCAAGCACACAAACAAGAGACTTCTAAATGCTCAAACATATAAGTAAGAAACTTCAATGCTCAAGCACATATGAAAGAGACTTCAGATGCTCAAACACAAAAACAAGAGACTTCAAATGCTCAAGCAACAACAAGAGTAGGGTAGGGTGTCTAGATGTATGGAGGGAGTCATTTGGTTATCCGTCATTCAAGAAATGATATTCTATTTAATAATGAGAAAGGTGATGTGGAAGAATTAGTGTAAAAAATTAAGATGTTCTCATGGTAGTGGCTCCAAATTTGCGCTAAAAAACTGAATTATAATATTTATGAGTGGTGCAAATGTCCTTTGAATTTTCTTTGACGTCTATGATTATATAGAGTAATCTCAATATTTTTTACATTCGGTTTAAAATACTCCTAATCCTCTTATTGAAATATAAAGTTGTTTAAAAAAAACTAATTATTTAATTAAAATATAATTAATATTATTACTTAATTTAATAATTAATCAATTAAAGCTAATAATCAAATAATAACTAATATAATTAATAAAAAGATATTTGTCGACATGATAATATTAAAGTATAATTAAACAATAAAATATTTCAATAAACTGCTCTTAACCTAAAAGAAAACAAATACTAGTAAAAATAATTCATTCAAATTTATTAACTTTGATTCTTTTCGTTAGTTTTCTGTCTGTTTTTTCTAAAGTGAAAAGCCTTTATTTCCGAGCTTGAAGACAAATTCAAAGAAGTCCACTATTATTTTCCCTAAATTTCACTGTAAAAGAAGTGATAGGTACTACCGATAGCGATTGCCACTAAAATATTTCATTTCCTTCTTTCTTTTTAATATTTCTTTCTTTTTTTCTCATATAAATGCATAATCATTAATCAACAAAAAGTTCATAATATAATATAATTTTATAAACACAAAATACATAGGAATCAAACCTAGTACAGCTTATTAAACTTATTAATAAAATGCTGCTATGGAGACCTAACCTACCTATAGAAATATATAAAAGGGCACTGAAAAATTTCACCCTAGATTGAAACTCTTTTTGAACATGGTCACATCCATGATTAAAATAACTCTATATATTTACACTTGTATTATCTACTTTTATCAAAATCAAAAGTGCACCACAATATTTAAAAAATTAAAGATAACTTGTATTAAGTACGGTAAATTATTAAATTTACTCTCTATTCAAAGATGCACTTAATTGATTGGTAAAATGCGCCATTTTTTAATACTGCACACCAAAGGAAGAACTATATTGAGACTCGTCATGAGGTAGATTTGAAGTAGGAAGCAATGAGTGAAATAAATTGTCCCAATTTTCCTCTTCTTCATCATCTTCTAATTCCTCTCCATTATTACTACTATTATGGCTCCATTGAATTGGAGGGTTCATTACAATTTCATCATTCTTAGCAAATCTTCCTCTAACTCGTGGCCTACTGTCTGCCAATGTCTTCCTGCAAACATACTGGTTCCAAGAAGTAAACAAAATTAAGATTTTTTTTTACTGTAGATAGTTGGATTGTTTCTAATTTAAATAACAAGAAAAAGACAAAATTAACCTTGATTTTCTTGTTGTAGTTCCTCTGGTTTCTCTTGGATTTATATCTCTCAATCCTAACCTTCTTTTCCTGTGGGCTGTAAGGACTAGCTGGTCTGCTCATTTGTTCTATTATCATGCTGCTCTCTGTTGCCAAAGGACTATCTGATTGATGATAATATTGTTGCATTCCATTAACTCTCTGTACATGTACAAAAACATGCACCATATATTAAAAAAAAATATTGTTGTAATTAATTAAAAATGCATATTATTTTTACATATTTTTCTTTATAATTACTAGTATCATAATAATGGTTTAAAATCGCGGTTGCCTAGTTTGGGGATTGCGATTATGGTTATTGTAATGCGCATTGTTGTTATTAGGGCATGAAATATTAATATTTATGTTTAAGATATAAATGATTATTAATATGTTTTTTTGGCGATAGTGGATTTGAGAGGAAAAGGAACCTGAACATCACCGGCACTGTAAACTCGACGCACAGGAGCATTCTCTGAATCAAGCAGTTCAGCAAACAGAGAAGAAAAATGGTTATGGTGACGGTGGGGTCCATGAGTCTTTTGCAGCGAGTGGCTACTAATGCTTCTCTGCATCAACCGGTGTGAAACTTGTTGAGTCTCGTAACTCGCTAGCGAACTCGGCGATCCCATGTAGCTAGTACACCCGCTGCTACAGCTGTTATAATTTCCACCAGCATTATTATTGTAGGTCACCTCCGAGTTGAGTTGCGATAGCGAGCCGTAGTCGCAGGTGTCTATGGGGGAGGGGAAATTGGTGAGGGAATCGGTGGCGCGTGAAAATGTGGTGTTGGAGTTTGTATACATGGCGCGTGATTGCGGAAAGAGTTGTTGTTGTTGTTATTGCTATTATGTTAAGTTGTAGAATGAGAGTGAAGATGAAATGGGGAGTGTTGAGTTGTATTTAATAGCTTTTCTTGCCTCAGATACACACAACAAGACAAAACTAAAACAACCCCATTACCCCCCACCAATTTCAAATAAATTGAGGAAACACAAATCAATTGTTGAAATTAAAAAGTGATGAAATATGAAATATGAAATATGACGTCATTATTTTATGGAAGAGTTGACTTTTTTATTTCTATAAATCAGACACACACACTGATATAAATTCATAATTCAGATTCTATAATTTATAGTTTAGCATACTTCATGTTGATTTGTTGATTCTTTGATTTATCAATGTAAAATTTGATGACTTGTTTATATTTTTGTCATTTTTTAGTGATACATAGGAATAATATGTTAAGAACTCTTGTTAGAGGCAATAAAGACTCATCTATTGACTCACCAAGACAAGATTGTTAACGTAAAATTTGATCTGATCGAGATGAACACATCAATATTGTGCCTTTACGAGGAACATGTGGCTAGATATATTTGAAATGGAGAGAAATGATATATCTTTCCATTAAAAAAATTACAATTTCTTTTCTTTTCTTGTTTAATATTGCTTCAAGTTTATTATATCTTTCCTTATGTGAATTTCCACTTAAATGTATAGATAGTAACAAAAAGTTATTAATTTGACTATACTCTCGGTGGAGAATCATTCATTAATGCCATTTAAGACAACATACTAGCTTATCTTGCCACCAATTTTTTTAATTATAGATTATAATTGTTTATTAATATCCTTTTTAGAGAGGTGATACACAAGGAGACGAGTATTGATGAGTGATAAATTATTGTGAATTTGAATGTAAATAATTAGCATTCATCGGCTTAATTCATTTTCTTTTTGTCAATAAACCTCAATTTTAGTGTATATTCGGTATAGTTTACGCTATAGTGTATTTATTGTATTATTGTAAATGTCATTGAGCTTAATTGATTTTATCTCATTTTTGTAGGTATTCAAGCATTGATATTTAGATATTGTTAGATAGAGCATTGAATAAGCTTTCCAACGCTTCCGACCGTGCACAAATTGAAGTTACGGTTCTCAACTTATGGCTGAAACTGTGCTGATTTTTCAACTTACTATCAACAGTCATCGGGCGACGCTTTTTGGTCGCCAGGCGATGCGGACCAGTCAGAAATATGTATTTAGGGATAAAAATACTTTTTTTGGGTATGGTTTTTGGGGTATTTGTTCCCAAATTCCATCACCTTCATTTTTGGATAGTTAGAGCTTAGACAACAATACTTGTGGCTTGTAAATGGATGATCCAGGATCGTGAGCTTGATGGATCGTGTTTGACACAACGGAAAATCTAGTTTCTTCTCCTCTTCGTCTCTTTGTAACCATTATTTGTTGGATTTTGTATGTGACTTTACCTTGATTATATGTATATTTATTGTTCATTGTGTTGTATGAAACTTTCTTTACAAATATTTATTGATGTTTGTCCTTGTTAGCTTCCTAAGTGTATGGGTTTGAGTTGTTGCAGAGATGGACTGATTGAATCCGAATTTAAGATGAATATCTATTGGGCTTAGATTCTAGAGATAGATTTAGGCTTAGCAATCACTTAGGTATCGTCTCTTAATGCCTCCATGTTGTTTTGTGTTGTGTTGAGAGATCGTCGACACGGAGCAACACGATTAATATCTTGCTCTGTGTTAAAATGACCTATTTATGAGCGATACATGATGATATTGACGAGTAGTTAAGGTTAAGTACAACTGGGGTAGTAAGTTTAAGTATTTGATGGGGTAGACGAAATACAAACTCGAGAGTTCTATCCTATTCGAATGATGGAATTCTTCTTGTGTATAACTTTTAATTTCAGCACCTTACATACAAAAATCCATTTAAAACCAAACTCATAAACACGAGAATTTGTCGAACGATGATTCAATAACCAATCTCTGTGGACACGATAAATTCCCGGATAAATATTTCCAAAATGTTTGTTGCTTCCCGCTACACTGCTCCAACAAGTATATTTTATTTTCTGGTCAAAGAGATAAAAATAACATTAGATAATGTGTCATGTCTTCATCATCTGCCTATACATGAACGCCTCTTGACTACTTTACACTTACTAAATTTAAGGTAATGATTAGAATGGTTGAGCTAATAAGAGAAGAGATAGAGAATGTTGAGCAGGAAATTGAAAAGGCCAATGAGGACCATGCTGATTTGGCTTCCTAATACAATTGTTTGTCTGATACTTTAATACCTCTAATAAGGAAAATGACGAGTTTGGGATACATTTTCATAAGCAATATGTCGCTAAGACATATCTCTTTTATTTTATGGAGTCGATCATTTTAGGGATGTAGTCATGGTTGATGACTATGCTTGGGGAACCGTTGTGTTAGCTATGTGTACCAATATTTAGAAAACCCTAGCATGAATGTCATGATAAAGATTAGAGGGAGGCAACTAGCATGATATTTTATTCAACATTGTTACCTGATTGGTACACATTGTTCCATGCATGTATCTATAAATATTTTCTAAATATTGGAAGATTGGAGTATGAGCGAGAGTACACAAAGATGGAGCCATGTGCTTAATTCTTCATTATGACAAAAAGAAATATGTATACATAAACATATTATGAGTGTATGGACCAACTACTACAAGATGTGTGGATCGACTCTTATGCCACTCACTACATGATTCTCTCACCCAAGAGACATATGTCGGTACCAACTAATGAGGAAGCATTAGTAGAGGAGGAAGAAGAAAAGGAATGTAATAATTTTGTTTGTGTATGAACACATATATGAGGCATGGTATCTAAGTTACCATGTTATTGGGTTGAAGATGAAGGGAAATCGCGATATAAAACATAGCGGAAAACAAAATTTCTCTTAAGTCAATCCTTACGAATGATGCATGATCAATGATAGAAATAGTTACCTCTTATGGCGATTAACTCTTTTGATGGAGAATCAGAAGATCAATCATAAGCATTTAATGAAGAACAACGTCCCTACTTAGTCCACACGACCAAAGTGTCATCAATCTTAGTTATAGATGCTATGAATGAAGGCTTTGAGAGGGAGATATAAAATGCAGATTGGGTTAAAAACTGAATTTCATCAATAGTGTAAGCTTTTGTACAAGGGTTCTATTTATAAAATCGGTTGTGTATGTTGTAAGCTGAAAAATCCAACTTAAGTGTATTGTACCTTATGTGTACTGTATTTCACTTAAGTGCACAATATCTTACATTATTCCATATTCCACTTAACTGCACCATACCTTACGATGCTCTACAATTCACTTAAGTGCAATGTATCTTACAATGTTCAATAATTCTCTTAAGTACATCGTACCTTACGGTGCTCCATATTTTACTCTCTCATCAATCTATACTTATATGTCTGACTCTGTAGGTTCTCGTGATGTTGTAAATTACACTAAATCACACATTTAATATAATAAATAGTCAGCGGTGTGTAGCAACACATCACCGTTACCCAAGTCACATAATTTCATAAGATCTACCAAAAATTTATGTGATAATGCTTATGTGTACAATTACCCTTTTTATCTCATGTATATATTGAACACAAGGCATAAATTGTTTCACCACTTGTCCAGTTTGTTATACCCCAATTTTTGCCCCTAAAATTCCTCTATCATCTCATATCAACTCAATCATATCAAGATTACACTTGGGTTTGGTTCTTCTCCCTATCTCTAGGTTTGCTCATGAGGGATCGCCAAGTACTTTGTTTTGTATATTGTGATCATATATGTCTTGTGTTGATTAACTTTTAACTAAAAAAGACAATAAATGTTTTCTCTAAATGATGATACCATAGGTGAGGGAACAACACATCTCATCAAGTTTATTCATAGGTTTATGAGTTTATTTCCATGCCTTCTTCAACAAAGTTTCATTGAGATTAAATATTAATCATTGAGAGTTCTTTAAAGAAATATCATGACAAAGTCTACTATGATTCATCATACCTCAATTTGCCAAAGGAAGTCAAAAGATGCAAGAATTGATTTAAGAAGTTTGACCTAATTGGACAAGTTCTTGATTCCTGGATCACAAGTGCATAACTCTCTCAATTCTTAATATTTGGAAGTGGTTATTATTACTATAGGTTCTCATTATCATCCACAACAAAATCTATTCACATAGCAAAAATGTACAAGAAAGATTGTCAAAATTGAAAGGGGTTCCCAAACCATTTTCATGCTCTAAGAGTTAGGATTTTGGACTTCTAAGGGCTATATCTTGTCCATTTTTTGAGATTTTTTAGTGATTCCAAAGACATGCTTCTCCTTAAAGAGTTATCAATAAATCACTTCAAAAGTTTTAAGCAAGTTTTGTGTGAAAGATCACTAATGATTGAGAAAGACTACAAGTCCTCTAGATAGGCCATCAAATTCCCTTATGTAACTTCAAAAAGTCATAACTTGATCAATTTTTATCTCCTTGAGCCTATTATTTTTCCACAATGACCTTAAGAGTGTGAAATTCAACTCTTCTTTTATGTGTAAAACTTGAAAATGGTGGGGATATGCCTTAAGAGCTCAAAAGATTATAAGTCACCTTATGATTTTCATCAAATTCAAAGGATCATAACTTGTCCAATATTTGGAATTTTTGAGTGATACAGGTTCCACAATACTCCTTAAAGAGTCTACTTCAAGCTAGCATCATTGATCAAAGCAAAAGTTTGGAAAAAGACCTTGTTTGGAATCAAAACATTATAGGTCATTTTTGAAGAAAAACTTAAAAAAATTTCTAAGTATAAAAGTCAACACATTTTTCCTGATTTTGACCAAGCACGAATTCTAGCTCAAACATCCAAATGATCTCTTTATTGGCACATTATGAAGAATGTTACCTCATCTTTCCAATGCATCAAGAATCAAGTCCTAA